AGCTTTTTTCACAACAGACATTTTGACATTTAATGGCAAGAAAAACAAAGGTGTAATTAATAACATTAAAGATGGCTGTGTTCCATTAAGGTGGCTCTGGTGCTGTGCTTGCTGCCTCCCTGGCAAAAAGTGGAGAAGAGCCATGATTAATGCTAGTTATACCTGTGCTTTTCTGAGCACTCTAAATGTCTGCCGTGAAAAAGGCCCATCATGCCACAGTAAAGATGTTTAGATTGGAAGTATCACATGAACAAAATTGATAAAAAAACATTTTGATTTTGCAAAACTAAGCGTTTCCATGCAGCAAAGCCTCCCAGCAAAATACTGACTTTACATACATGGTACAAATTTGAAATGGCCAAATCTAGCTCTAACGACCCTCATGACCTTTTGACCCCAACCCGAGTGCAGGTCACGAGCAGGTGGCGGTGATGTCACTGCAACCACAAACACACTTCCTACAGGTTCGTCTTAATGGCTGTGGTCGGTTGAATCATTTTTGGTGAAAAGCTGAACTCTCGGGTGACCAATAAAAACAACAACAACAAAAAACCCGTTTGCACTGAATTGATTTGTGGTGAAGTCATCTCAAACTAAATTAGTTTTTTTTTTTTTTTTAAATCCTCAGAACAATTTGGTCATTAGCGACACAGCTTGGAGGATAAACTAAGTTAATCAGAAGCTGGACTGTTTTTGATTCATCCATTTGGAACTGTGAAGCAGTTATACAGTACTGGAGTGGATTAGTTGTGGGTTACTTAATGGCTTTAACAGTAACACCTCCAGGCCTAAACCATTGAGTGTAGTCCTTTAACATTTCATGATGAGTCTCATTTGCATGGTTTGCAAGCAGGGGACAAACAGGCCTGTACTCAGCGTGATGGCTTTGGTTTGACTCCCAGCACAAAGAACATCAGGTCATCAGTACTGTAAACTGTAAATCACTAGTTTCACATTTGAATATTTGCTATTTTTGCTTTTGACCTTTCAGTTTAAAAATAAAACTTGTGTCCCGACGAAATTGCATTACATGTTACCTACAACTGTAACTCAATAGCACTGATGTTAACACTAGTTTCGACATTTTCATTCTATTCTTTGATATAAAATTCACCAGTTAATACTCATGACCATTTTTTTATTCAGTTAATACTCCTGGTGAGTAAATGTGGTCATAAAGGTGGAGTTCATTGGCTGAGTTTTGTTAGTCACAGGCGTCATTTTCCACAATAACCCAAATCCCTTTGGCTTTTTGTCACCATGGTGACGCAAATGTCCAGACTGGCCTACGAAAATATGTCATCCCTTCAGCACTCTACTCCCACTGTGGGTCTTCTGAATTGACATGACTCATGGGAGGTCCCATGATATTGCAAGTTGGTGCCACTGCTACTCAACCTGAGATGGTGGAAGAAGTGGAAGTGGAAGTAAACAGATGGATGGAAAAGCATAGGCATGCTAACACTGCCGATGACTCCCAATAAGCTGTGACATGCCACAATTAGCCACTTTGCACATTACCCACAGCATTTTATTAGTTTCTCTACCATGAGATTTTAATCGTGAAAAACATGCATGTCCGCACAGTCCTGATAAGAACTCTAATCAGCTGAAATAATGTGTGTGGGTATGTCACAGCCTTTAGTTATATGATCCGTTGCTCTGCAGCGCCACATAAAATAAAGCTAAGATGCACGTCTCATTCACATCATCTTTCTTTGCACAACTCTAACAGCACGTCCCATCTCCCTGACTCAACGACTTCCTGACCCCCAGTCTATCTTTACCCCAGTGCTGCGCAGCCACGACCCACTGACAGAGTGGAAAACTCATTCAGGCCTAATTACATGGCCCAGGCTTCAGCCCTCTCCCTTACTTTCTTTCACTGAAGAGGCACTTTCTTTCTTTCACCCCTTCTCTTTTCTCCTGCGCTCTCTCACTGTCCTTTTCTCTTTGCTCTCTCATTTCTTCTCTCCTCGTGCTCCAGTTACCGGATCAAGGTAGCCGTGCACCACCGGCCAGCCAGAACACACACGCACAAACACACACACACAGGACATCCAACACTCTGCCGTGGCCAAGAGGCCACAGGTACACAGGTACAAAAGCTTTTATATGGTTCATTGTTGTTTCCTCAGGGTCAGCCATAGGTTAGAGGACCAGTCTTAATTAGTTGACATAACTTATACATGATTACCCCACTTCAGGTCCTATGGCCCCCAAACAAACACACACAAAGTGCTTTCCTGAGACTTACGTACACACAAACCTCCCACCCCAATGGATCAACTCACTTAACCCTGTCCTGAAAAGAAACAGGAAAGACTGCATACAGACACGTAGCAGCAGCATGTCTAAGGTTTTGAATCCAGGGATCAGGGAGGTGAAATGTAAGGAACCCTGGAAGGAACCTTATCCCAGGACGTCAGACTGCACAAAAACAACGTCAGAAACAAAAGTCATATTAATGATAGATGACAGCCGGGGTCAGCGCTCCGGTCGTGTGTCAGGACCTACGCTGCACAGCAGGAATTGAAAATGGTCTTTTTAAAATGACTCCGCTGTGTGTGACAGGTTTGATTTTTACCTTAAAGAAAGAACAATAATGATGGATGGAGATGGATAGAAACGGATAACAGACACGAACACAGTGCAAATAAAGCAAATAATTTAAACAACATAATTACACTTTATAATCTACTCTAACTGCGATATGGTATTGACAGAAATATTGTCCTCCTCAGGAGCGGATGCCTACCAGTAAAGAGATTTGATCCTGCCATCACTCTCTTGCACCAGACAACCTCATATTCATATAAAATCCATAACGCACTGTAGCCTAACAGGCTCATGTAAGCTCAACGTTGCAATATGTATGCTGTTGACTGTAATTTACCAACCTGAATTACTCCCATAGTTATTGGAAAGCATTTTGCATTTGCAGCCACTGCACGAGACGGAATGGTTACAGCAAGTCCGATCGATATCCAGCCCATAAAGCAGACGCCACGGTCACAGGAATTAACATGCTTGTGTCTATAAACCATTCAGAGACATAAACCTAAACTGAAATCCGTTCTGCAACCACAAGGCATAAAAATGACTGCCACCATTACCAGTCTATGTTACACTTCCAGAAAGTTTAGATACACTCAGGATATGGTATTAATTTGTTTGGGAAATGCTTACTGCTCTGTACTGTAATAGGGCTCTGGGGAGCAGATGATTTCCAAGGCCAAACCATAAGGAAGCAGGGCAAGCCTCAACAACAACAACTTAATGATGCTCTGGTAATGGAGCACGAGTGAAACACTTAGAAAGAGTACTCACTCCGGCAGGAAAAAACACACTTTGTACACAAATGGCAATATGCTTATCAACATAGATTCAAATGTGAAGAGCCAGTTTGTACCAAAGTGTACAATAGTAAATACATACCTACAAAAGTAAATGCAAGAGGAAATCAGGACGGACAATTCAGGGACTGCAGATTGAAATGAGCAATTTCCCCAAATTTAGTGCATTTACGTTACAATGAAATCAATTAATACACATATATATACATACACAATCAGAGTGTCTTCACTCTCAAACATTGTTCACACTAAGTGCACCAAACCTTTTAACTGCAAATGTTTTTAATGTGTCTTAATGTCCGAGATGTTTAACTGTGCGGCCGTCACTTTGCTAAGAAGCCTGCTGCACCGTGCACAAACAGGAGAGGTTTACTGACAGTAAACAAATCTAAATAATTCAGACAGCCAAATAAGTTTATTTATTTGTTATTCATCAATTCTTCTGTCAGGCTTATGATCCAATGTCAGTGAATGTATACACAATCTATAAACCTGTCTGTATGATTATAGAAATAAAAACTGAAACTTAACTGACTGCCAATTACTTTTAAATTTAAAAAAAAATGGAACTACAGCCAGACTGTATTCACGATACCCCAATTATTTATCTTTGTTGAATCTGGTTTTCTCAAAGCAATCTATCTGGTTCAGGATGTGACCAGAGAAAACTGGAAGATCTTGACACAAAAGGTAGAATTACAGCTCCTCAAAAATCTGAACAAAAAGATGTACACGACAAATTAAATGTATTAAAAAAAGCAACAACAAAAATAATACTAACAACGTGGAGAAACAAGTTGCATCCCTTAAAGGTTACTGAGCAGGTTTAGTATTCCCAAGTGTTTTCAGCACATCTGTAAAATTATGATACAGAAAAAACAATACGCACAAACAATACAGTTTCAAACAGATGGCATGTAGAATAATACAAACATCTGAATTGAGGAACACGGCAGACTTTCACCTTGCACACACACAGGCTGTTGATTCAAAGAACACTCATCAGTGAGCTTCTACCTCCCTCTGCTGGCTGCTAACACATCCAGCACCACACACACACAGACACACAAGGCCCAGTCCCACTGCTACAATGCATTCAACTCCTTTCACATTTAAAATAAAAGCATTAAACCTCGTGACAATAAATAAACCATGCACCAAATCCTTCACCTCAATGATTGCATGTAAATCAAGACACGACCTGTAGCCTGCACCACAACACGTAAGAAGAAGCTGTTCGTAACCCCTCGTGAATAAAGTGGACTTTTAAATCACGCAGTTGTGGAACTGTGTAGGAAACTGGAATGAAGTGTGGGCAGTTACAATCAGGTAAAAGCAATGAAGGCAACAACTCAGTTCATTTGACGACACGTGTAAACACAGAAACCTGCTGTGAATGGCAGAATCTGGTCAAATTGATGAAGTTGTTTTCTTAATGTAAGTGTGTTTTCTCTATTTGCTGTGTGTTGAGCTCTCAGCCTCCGTGAAATGAACCATTTCATCTTAGAAGAGACACAAACTGAAAAAAACAGCTGAGAATCGAACCTGTCAGGAGAATACGTGTCACTTTCTGCTTAGTTTTTTTTTTTGTAACGATGCTAATTTGCGTGTGTGTCTGTAGTTTAGAGGTTGTCGTGGACTTACCTCCATTTTGCCAATGTAGTTTGTCCTTTACGTTTTTGAGTTAACTCCACACAAACTCGCTGTGAAATGCTTGAACAAATACTGGGAGGGAAACAGTCGTAGTTGTGTTTGGAGCTAGGAGCTAGCTTAACCCAAACAACCGCGGAAATGAGCGGCCGCCATGTTGGTTCCTCTCAACCACACCTGCTGAATTCATCGACAAGCCCCGCCCCCTACCTGCCGACAGCGCACGTGCAGCGCGGGGAGGGTTTTGCGGTTATCGAGATGAGTTCAGGTTGAACTTCTGGATCACTTCTTTCCGGGTTAAATCACCATGGTAACAAATGCAGCTCACCTGAGTCTCGATCTACGGGATCCTGACAGGGACAAAAAGAGTTTACAGTAAAGAGTTTTTTCTGCTCCACACTTTTCATCCGTCCACAAAACAGAGCTTCTGACAAACAGTAGGAGAGTTTGTCACACTAATAAATGCATCAAGACTATTATAATTTAATTTTAATTCAACAAAGATCCTTTGATTCCTGATATATATTTATATTTGAAAGTTTTTTTTACTGTTTTAATCTATCTCCGCAGATCAGAACAATGTGAATAGAACTATTATTATTATTAGTGTTCACAGTTGGGGTTTGGCTGGAAATACTCTGAAATAAATGTAACTTTTGTATTGTGCATCATAAAACAATATTAATAAAACTTTATTTACAAAACACTTTTCAAAAACAACTTCACAAAGTGCTTCACAAACAAACAGTAAATTCAGTACACAAAGACATACAAAATCTAGGTAAACACCATATTATAAAAAGGAGTCTTTAAACTAGATTTAAGACTCTAAATCTAGACTGTTACTTTTCTAATTGATGATCATCATTTTCATATCACTTTGTTATGTAATGACTCAATATCAGCGTTTCTTCTCATATGATGAGTCTGGGATAAATGAGACATTGACACGTATTTTGGGTCTTTTATTTTATCAATTTATAAAGGGGATAAATTCAAGATATTCAAAAATTCATAATGAAGTCTCCATCCTGGTTTCTGTCATGAGAAAATGACAGCAAGAGCAAACACTCCAGGAATAGAAGAGGATGTCAAATCAAATTTTGGATATTTTCCACAACTGCAATTTGCCAAATATTCAAGATAACTGCAGGCAAGCAACACAAACATGACACAATGTCCAGTTGAATTAAAACAGCTTTATTAGTGTACACTGTAATAAGTTGAATGTATATGTAGAATAGTTGGAAAGCCTATGAAGATTCATCATCAGTGTTTGAAGAAGACAGAAATCCTAACAGCGTGTTTTCTAATGGAATAATAATCTGGCGATAGCAAGAAAAGAAAGCATGTATGGTCAAATCAAAGTAAAACTATACAATAAACAACACTAGTGACATGTAGAAACTTCACTTTCTCCAAATAAACCACTTTCTCTTTTTAAAATCAGGAATTCATCAGAAAGCGGTTTTATTGGGGATACACAATTGTCATCACAATAAGAAAAAAAAAAAAACGTGATCTGTAAATGGGAATGTGGACCCTTGAAATGTGTGGAAGTCGTCTATAAGAAACCTCATTTGGTCTAATTTTCCAAAACTGAAACTTCAGGAAGTGAGAAAAGGTGGACGGTGTTGGGAAACAATTTTAGGTGGCACTCGTTAAAAGAAAGAAAAGTAGATAAAAAAAGGCTTTTGCTGGACCCTGGCTGTATGTTTAAAACAGTTTGTCTGGCCATCAGAAAATACACCAAGTATATTTCTTCATGGGGAAATGAGTCCAAACAATTTGATGTCACTGCATAGAACAAACGTGGGTTTGAAAAGAAACAACACGAGCATGTGTGTAATGATCTAAGTAGAGTTAAGTCAACTTTTTTGACAAAATAACAGAGCAGCAAAAAGACAGGACAGACAAGTAAAGGAAAGATAGATACACATACAGAAAAATACATCACTGCATTTGGCTGATTTGTTTGGTTACAAGTGAGTATGGAATGGTTTTACTGATTAAAAACTTGGGTCAAACCATTGGAAACTCATCTTGGAGGATCGTCACTTGCTTGTGAGATTTTTTTTTTTAAATGTCAATCTGTCACTTTGGTCAGAGGAAGTCATTTCTCAAATGTGTATCAAATTCAACATTGTCTAAAGTTTCTGAAGGATGGACGACACGTATGATTCGAGATCAGGATTTCTGGACTTCTCGTCTCTAAACTAAACCTTCATCTGGTGTTTTACAACATTTTTTTAAATGTACATTTTTGCCGTATGTAGCGATAGTGAGAAATTAAGATAGACACTGTGAATGTGTTTCATGCACCAGCATCATTGTGTAAGAAATTAAGACCTACGTGAGGTTTTTCTTCCAGTTTGTAAAAAGTCAGAGCAGATATCTGGAATGTGACAGTTTGATCCAAGATGGCGGTGCATGTATAATCCCATTTACATGTATTTACATGTCCTACTTAATTAAAACCCCCAACACTCTTTATGCATTCAGTGCAGGGATGCACATGAGGAATACACCTACAGTACAGAGGCCTCAACTGAGATATAACATCATCAATACCTGTGTGCATATAAACACAATCCCTGTCAGTTAACAGTGTACAACCATACTGAGAATTAAACCGCTGCAGTGCTGGAATTGGCTGCAGCTTTTACACTGAGTACTGGAATGTCCTTAAGTAAAATGGAGTTAATCAAATTCACCTCAAAGTCTATACTGAAAATTAATACTGTATTACCCAGCTAATGGATTGAACCCTAATACTTCCAAAAAGTCTGAATTTTCACTTTAAAAAACAGCTTCATTTTCAAATGACTACTAACCAAAGTCCCAAATTACATTGGAAAGTTTAAACATCTCCATGACGCAGATAAAATACTTAAGAACTGGAGCTATGCTTTCATCAGCAGTTCGTTTTTTGACACAGTGGATCTGCAGAGTACAGGACATATCAGAAATACATGAATTCAGTCTTTGGGACAGCACTATTACAATTTGGGTCACAACCCTCGAGCTGAAGAGTTAGTAACAGTAAGGCAAGAAACTTCCAAAGAACTGTTCTCAGCGATACATGTTAGATCCTATGCTACATACTTCACATTCACTTCTTCACCGTCAAGCTGTGATCATTTCAAACCAGAGGGCATATTCTAAAAAATATTTGAATTCTAATAAAAAGGAAGAAAGCTTTGAAGATTTTAAATATATTTATATATAAAAAAATACATGAAAATACAAAAATGTAGCTAAACGAATGTGTAAAGAAAAATAATAACTGTGTCGTATAACTAGCTTGTCAAATACTTAAAGCTTAAATACTTTGAGTTGAAAAGATTTGGACTCTAAAATACCGATATAGGTATTAGCTGGCTTTTAGATCAGGGCAAAGGAATCTCATTAAAATCAAATAGATGCTCCAGACAATATTAATAGCGAATATCCTAAATTTATGAAAAAATTTCTGGTAATTTTCTTAATTTCAAGTGGGATTTGCAACATTCCTATCTGTACATTTCAAAGCATATCTTGCTGAACTTTACATAAAAGGCATCTTTATTATGGGTGCATGATTGGGGGCAGTGCAAGTACAGTATAGGGGCATTTTTCTTTTAAAGTCCCACACTGCGGGACTTTTCCTATTAATAAAGTCAATAATGAAGACAACCGTGCATTAGTCCAAGCAATTATTCAAGAGACTTGCACTTTTTATACATTTGTGAAACATCCCGAGATGAATGTTTCTCTTTTTAGTCTGTTCAACAGCAGGGGGCGACACTGAAGCTTAGACTCTTGGGTTTACATTGAGTCCTGATCCTGCACGAGGCGGATGAAAGACTCCCCTTCATATGCAAGATGATATAATAGTAAAAATGGCGAGAATTAAGCGAGAGACAGCAAGAGCATGCAGGAGGGAAACAGAGATAGTGCATCTTGTTGGGCCTGACAAACTAGAAGAGTTGTGAGTAAATCCTTCTGGATTTTTTTTTTTTTTTACTTACTAAACGTTCAAAGATTTAAGCTGTTTGAAGTTCCACAGAGGTGACGTGTCGTATGTTCTTACTCTGAGGATTCCTCAGCTTACTCATTCCAGTTATCTGTGATGGTTCGCTAGTGACCACACTTTAAAATTAAAAACTCCTCACAGAAGAAACATTTGCCCCACTGCACACTCCTCAAATCAGACCAACCGACGTTCAGCACAGAGGAATTCATCTTGTAAGTAAAACATTGTGTTTAAATAGCTACTTAAGTGATGTAGGAACTTTAAAATTGTGTTTCTGTCACAGTATGTGTGTGTGTGTGTGTGTGTGTGTGTGTGTGTGTGAGAGAGAGAGAGAGAGAACATGTAAAAACAGGGCATGTCATATTAATTACACTTCGTTCTTCCAGTGGTCACCGCTCTAAGAGTTGAGGACCGTGTGGTCGGGGGTGTGATCACCACGACGGAGGGCGGATTGGGCAAGAAAAGGTTGGACTTCAAAAATGAGCTGGAAGTTTGGTCATCAAAACCAAGAGATGCTGAGAAATTCATATCCAGGCCTGAGGTTGATTCTTCATGAAGATGAGCCAGGAGTGGCAGTACTGTTAGTCAACCCTTGTGTAAACGGAAAAGTATCGATGCTGAGTCAAAGCTTGTGCTATGGTTGGTAGGGAAGAGGCAAGGTGGACTTGTGGTTGGACAGACAGTCCTGTTACACGTTCAATCCCAGAAACAATCATGGTTGTGTCGAAGACGAGGACACTGAGGCCTCGTCCTGCTGTGTGTTTCTGGGTTGCAGCCTCACTCAAATACCAAAAACACAAATGTAGTCTGGTCCATTACGACCTCGCTCTTCATTTATCATTTTGATATTGCAGTGCGATTTCAATTATCATGATTAGGTCCATGATTACTGGAATGTCAGCCTGATGTTGATCCAACAGAGCCAAAAGGTAATCAGGTCCAGTGTGACATCACTGTTAACATTCCCCTACTGTCCATTAGTCGTGTCATTCTCTCCTCCAGGTCCGTTGCGTAATCGTTTTTTTCCGTTTGTTTTTTCAAACTGCTGTTAGTTCATCAGTTTAAGACCGCGTAGTTGTCTTCTTCAGAACGTAGTGTTCAAACATCGTGAAATGTCAGTCTGACTGCATCCACAGCAGCAGGAGCCTGTTTATGACATGCTGGAGCAGCGCACTGAGGGGGATCCCATTTGGGTCAGCACCTTATCCAACCACTGGAGGGGGCCGTTGAGATGCAGCTCAATCCAACAGGGGGTGCTGGTTACTGTCTGACGCCTGTAGGGATAAAACAACAGAATAAGAGTCAAACTTAGTGGTGGAGCATGTGGTGTGAGATGGGTCTTTATTGATTACAGATAATATCAGGATATCCCCTGTTTCAACTTGATATTTATCAATTAATAGAATGTTTGTGTCATCTGTGAGCTGTAATGGAGCTCTTTGTTTTAAGTGATAAAAAACAAATAACATATATAAGGGAGCTTGCATTGTCCAGGTCTGACCAGATGAATAAATACAGCTCACTGTTCCTGGCAGGCTTCACCTGTACAAAAGGCAGGCAACCACTGTTAACCTACACAGCAGCTTAACCCAGACCAGTGAGGACAAGCCTGAACAACCCCCCTCCTAACACTGCAGTCCGGCCCCTGGGAGGGTACAACACAACCCTGAGCCAGGAGCAGGATGTTTGCTGGTTTGACGGTTGGACAGCCGCAGAGACAGAAAGGTGCAGACAAATGCCCTGAAACTGACATTCTGCAAAAGGTTGATCATGATAGAGTTGATTTAAATTTGGTATCTGTGCAAATCATGTAATCTATAGCTGGACCTGGTGGGATGCTGCCAAGGATTCAGTTAAATTTGCATTTTAAATCACATTTCATCAACATTTCCAGTTTTGTGACAACCCTCCATCATGTGATAGCAACAAATACTGTGTCATAGAGTGTAACACACCTGTACTCTGCTCCCCAGCCCTTGACGAAGCTCATTCTGATCGTGCACATCCTGGTTAGCTGGTAGACCGCCTCGAATCCCTGATTGACTGACTGGGCCAGCAGTGCAGCAAACTCTTGGTTGTTAAAAATCTTCAGGTTACAGCCTTAAAAGAAGAAGAAGAAGAAGAAGAAGTGACCTTCAACCACCAAATTCAAAATCAGTTCATTTATGCCAAACGTGTTAGGAGATGTTGTGTTCATGAGGAGATCACAGTGACCTTGAAATGTGACCATTGATTACATAGAGTGTGGCTGTCTGCTGTGTTTTGTGTTGCTTCATGGTGTAGTCTCTCTAACACATAGATCAGTCTCATAGTCAAACTTGCCTTTGGGAGTATCGGGAGAAATCCCACCAAATAAGTTGTTTGGGAGCCAAACAGAAAGTCCAGCACTTGCGTGTCTACGAGATCTTTGTGTTTCCTGTTATTACAATTCTTCACCTCAGTAGTGAGTCTGTTCACACTGCTCATTTGACCAGAAATGAAATATTCAAAGTTACGGGTACAGATGAGTCTGTGTGTGTGGGTGAGTGTCTGAAGAAAAACTCTGTGGAGAACACTTCTCAACAGTGAAGTCCTCAATCAGGACTCATTCATTATAGAGCCAATAAATTAGTCGTGTAATGTGTTTTGTTGTGGCACTGATGCTTGTTCCTCAAATCCCAAGATGTCAGGTAAAATTTCAATAGGAACTACATCCCCTTTATGAGAATAAATATCAACCCTAACCCAACAAATACGCTGTGTTAGTAAACCAGACATGGGACTATTTGTCAGATGTAAAGAATGAATGTGGCTCAGGAGAAAGAACAAGAAATACCTGGTGGTATCTTGCAGACTGTGGCAGGATGCCAGCCATATCGCTGGTTACAGTTGGGACTCTGGACAAAAATGGCACTGTCGCTGAGGCACTCGGCGAACACCTCCCCCCCGATGTAATACAACCTCACACCACGACCTGTAAGGTATGAGAACAGAACAAATGTGAAAAATAAAGGGAACAAAGGAAAAGCATGAAGACATAAGAAAACCATTATACTGCAAAGGCAGCACTGTGAAAACCCTTTTATCCTTTTGTACTCATAATAATTAATAAACTGCAAATTTACATTTGTCTAGCAGTGTGTGTGTGTGTGTGTG